GTGACAGGATCGAGAGGTGAGCGAACCCGGTATGTGTTCGCTCACCTCCCGATCTACTGAGCCGACCTGTGACAGTTTCATTGTCACAGGTCGGCTAGAACTATGAGGTGAGTGAAAAGCACTCACCTCATAGTTCTCCTTTTAAGATTTAAAGTGAACCTGTCACCAACCAGCTGGATATGTTGCCCAGTGTTCCATAAAGTTTAAGAGTCTTGTAGTAAGCAATGATCCTTCTTCCTGCTTGATCTCTGTTGTGGATACCTGCAGGTCGTGACAGACAGTGCCGGTCCATTTCACAATGTCTGTCCCCTTCCTTTACTTAGAAGCTTGCTCTCGACTCTTCATTTAGTACTGATAATGCTGCAGCTCATAACCAGGAAAATAATTTTAATGGGACAGTGATTTTTTTTTTTTTTTGATGTTTATCTGACTGGTGTCGTGTGTAGGTCCTGGAAATTTCTGTGTATTTTGTTTTAATAATTTACGAATTGCTGTTTTTGTTTTCCAAACCTTGCTTCGTTATAGCCAGAATGGGTGTTTTGACATTGTTGTCTATATGATCATATATACAACATACAAGTCAAGCACCATTCAAACTGTGTGAAGAAATTATTGACTTGTAGAATTTCACCTGCTCCCTAGACACGCTGATCTGCCAGAGTCTGCTATCAGCTACACGGGTAATTTTCTGGACTGCACCCTCATCAGGAAGAAAAAGGTGAGAAGCAGAACATCCGTCCAGTCATAGGAGAGTTGTTGCTGTTGCATGTGCCTATCGCTGCTTTCTTCAACTCTCACACCTGCTTTCTCACAGTCTGTTTTGCTTGTTCTTTCAGTGCTGTATTCTCCCCCTGTTCCACTTCAGTTCCCTTCATGAATTATCTCACTTGTTCTTGACCCTCACACTTCCCCCTCTTGACCTTCATGCTCACCCCTCTCTCCTTCTGCCACTCACACTTGCCCCCCTCTCCTGCATGCGCTCGCCCCCTCGGGTTCGCCCCCCTCTCCCCCTCGGGTTATTCTTTCTGTCACTCACACTCGCCCCTCATTCAATCTGTCACTCACACTCGCCCCTTGCGACTTTTACCACTCATGTTAGCTCCTTACTCTTTTTGTTTCTTTTTATTTATAATTGTTCTGTGTTCAGCCTGGTACAGGAGAGGAGCAGATGGCTAGTGTCATCCAGTCCTATGACGACCTCAGCAGGAAGCTATGGAATCTGGAGGATTTACCACTTACTGTCACCTCTGTGCAGGGTACCCACCCATCACTCCGCTACACAGATGTGAGTCTGGATAATGTTCATTTTGAGACATATTGCCGTCAGCCAGCCAGCGTGACTAGGAAACACTGAATCTACATCTAAGGAGGGCATATTTGCTTGTTGTAACACCAGTGTCCTTCCCTCTCTGTATCATGTATATCTGTGACTTCTGTCACCAATAACTGTGCGGTTGCCATTTTGTAATTTTCCTGCTGTTGTCCATTGTGGATTATATTGTGATTATTGTTTTTATAGTTTTTTTTCACCCCATAGGTCTTTCCTCCTCTTGTTGTAAAACCAGAATGGTCTTTTTTTAAGACTGTGTCTGAAAATAAGTCTTTGGTCCCCTTGGTGGATAAGCCCAGTCCAGCCTACGTTTCCCCTATAAAGGGTAAGTTCTACACCCTCAGCATGGCGATTGAGTGACAAGCACTATGACCTTGCAGCACTGGGGTAATTGAATGTTCAGGTGGCATGGTTTTTAGAGAGTTTGGTGGTGCTAAAGTGAACCATTATTGGCAAATTATAAGGTTGACTTCGCTCCACCCAACCCCAGAAGCATATAACCACCAGTTCTCACTCCCTTGCCGCTGTGTCCAACTGGCAGGACCAGGAAAGGAAAGTCAATAATTGTTAGAGCTAATGGAGGCCTATGGATTACTTCTCAGGACCCGTGTGACAGTGCTGGGCCAATCAAGACCAACCTGGCATTGTCACATGGCAAAGGGATAGCAAGTCACATGCTGAACGTTACCCAGAAATGCTGGTAGCCAAACGGAGAAGCTGGGTGGAAGGTGTGTAAGGAACGGTATGTGCTCTGGTTGCTGATAGAATGCGGTGATCAGTAAAAGGTATTTTCATTGTACTATAAATTGGATTACATTTTTGAAAATATTTTTATTAATTTTCAATAGTAATAACAAAGAATAACAAAATATAGACAGAAAATCAAAATACCCATGTCACATACAGATAAAAAAGACATGTTAAGTCACATGACATTTTCTTTAATTGGCAGTGATTTGTCACATGGAAGGAAGTGGGAAATGGCCGCAAGATAAGGACGCCATTAAGCGAGTGAAGGCCGCTTTCCAGATTCGGCTGGGGGAGCTGCTGAAGGAGCAGCATGATCTGCTGTGCAGACCTACTTCCACTTTTACAGATGTGTACAAGGTGAGGATCTAACGCCATCAACGTCCTCAGTAACACCTGCTTATCCTTCTCTCTCTTGTCCCTGTTTATACTCCACAGCGAGCTGTCAAATCTTTATATGAGCTGCTCCTAGTCTTCTCTTCTTATCACCTTCTCCCATGCTGCACCTTTACTCAGTAACACTCTCCCTCACCCAACCATTTAGAAGAGGGAAAATATCAAGTTGTCATTTATTGCTTTATCAGTTGGTTATTGACCTTTTAAAGTAGAGAAATAGCTAAATAACCCAATTTGGTAAATCAATAGATGTTTAAAACTATAAATGACTTATTAACATTACTCCAGGGCCACCAGTAGAAATCATGGGGCATGGGCCCCTCCACAGCGGCTATATGGTTACGAGGATCGGTGGAGAGTCGAGATGTTCAGCTTCTGACTGAACTCGCCTTTCTGCACAGAACAAAGCAGGGGAAAAGGTTACAAGCGGTATTCCATACAAAGGGGGGATATGCCTCACTCAGCTCTCAGTAGCCCCCAGTGGTCCTGATATAGCTCCTCCTTGCCTGTTGTCGGTAGGAGAGTGGGAACAGGGCTGCCACTCGCAGACCATGTCTGTATGGGGGATCATCTTGCTTTCAAGCCGACCTCCCCCTTTCTGACCCAATGGGGTCCAAGCCAGGTATGGGAGTACTGCTTGTCCCCCATACCAGCGGGTTCTGCCCTATAGCAGCAGGTCTTATAACCTATTGCCCAAGCCTGGTATGGGACTGCTTGTCCCCCCTTACCAGCGGCCCTGTCCATAGCAGCAGGTTATATGACCTAAAGCCCAAGCCTGGTATGGTAGTACTGCTTGTTCCACCTACTTTTGGCCCTGTCCATAGCAGCAGGTCATATGAGCTAAAGCCCAAGCCTGCTATGGTAGTACTGCTTGTGCCCCTTAACGGTGGCTCTGTCCATAGCAGCAGGTCATAAGGACTAATGTCCAAGCCTGGTATGGTAGTACTGCTTGTTCCACCTACTGTCGGCCCTGTCCATAGCAGCAGGTCATATGAGCTAAAGCCCAAGCCTGCTATGGTAGTACTGCTTGTGCCCCTTAACGGTGGCTCTGTCCATAGCAGCAGGTCATAAGGACTAATGTCCAAGCCTGGTATGGTAGTACTGCTTGTGCACCTTAACGGTGGCCCTGTCCATAGCAGCAGGTCATATGACCTAAAGCCCAAGCCTGCTATGGTAGTACTGCTTGTGCCCCTTAACGGTGGCTCTGTCCATAGCAGCAGGTCATAAGACCTAATGCCCAAGCCTGGTATGGTAGTACTGCTTGTGCCCCTTAACGGTGGCCCTGTCCATAGCAGCAGGTCATAAGGCCTAATGCCTCTCAGCATTTTGGTCACATGGTTTGAGAAAACGGAACATGGGGTACTTAAAAGCCCCACTCTAGGTCTCTAGGATTCACTAACACATTTGCCCTTTCCTTCTCTCCCCAAACACTTCCTGGGTCTTTTTTATGTTCCAAAGTACTTCAATAATGTTCCTAAAGTATCACATTCTCTATCGCTCTGTCTTTTCCATTACAGGATGGCTATGTGTTCCGTCTGCAAGTTGCGTATCACAGAGAGCCGCAGTTCATAAAGGAGTTGGTCACGCCGGATGGGATGCTGAAGTACCGCGATACTGAGGAGTCCCTGCAACTGGAACTGGAGACAATTCATCTGACTCAACTGACCAGCACGCTGCACGGGTAGGGCTCCGTACCCAGCAATCTGTCACGCTGTGATTTATCTGTAATCTTATTTAAAGTGAATCTAAACCCATAACTGGAAATGTAACATTGCAGCTCAGCAGTCCTTCGATGTGGTGGCTGCTTTAGTTTTTTTTCTTTTTGTTTTCACCGGGTAATCCCGCCAGTAACACACTTCCTGTCCTAGGGGGACCATGTTTACTGGATCTATAGAGAAAGAGCGTTGTCACCCTAGGCCAGGGATAGGCAACCTCAGCACACCAGTGCTGGTGAAACTATAAACTCCATCAATACTTCTGTCTTTTGGAAGTCATACCTGCGGCTTTGTCTTGCGGCGCCTCATGTCACTTGTAGTTCCACAACAGTTGGAATGCCAGGGCTGCCTACCCCTGCCCCAGACTGTTCTCCTTAGGGATGCACCGATACTAGTATCGATATCAGTGTCGATTCTGAGTATTTGGGCAAGTACTCGTACTCGCCCAAATGCTCCGATGCCTAGCACGAGTACTTCCGGTATCAGGAAGCCGGGGAGCGCGTCATTAACCAAAATACCGGCATCGGTGCATCCCTAGTTCTCCTGATTTATTTTACAAACACCTACCCCCTCTTCATCTCCAATACTTGGGCTGGAGGTGTTTTGTGAATGAAGCCTTATAGAAATTTTAAGGAGGAACTTCACTGTAGAAGCTATGCCCAAAAAAGGCCGGCAGAGGACAAAGGACTAATCGCTCTACAGCTAATCTGTTTCCCAACTACTGACTTGTCAGGCTTTGTTTTTCACTGTGTCTCTGTGTGGTTGCGGCCATCTTGGTTAAAGGAAGGGCTTTGCTTCCTCAAGGATCCTCCAGCAGGGAGAACACTAGGGACATTACCAATTCTTGCTTCAGATCTTCTGAGACTAGCAGAGGCAGCAGTGCCTTCGATGATCTCACCCTGCGGATATACAGCTATGAGACTGCCTAGGCAAACGCATACCAAGAAGTCCCTTTTTGTATTTCTAAACTGTAGTAATTAGGGATATACTGATACTAGTATTGGTGCCGATACCGAGTATTTGGGCTCGTACCCTTACTCGCCCAAATGCTCCGATACCTTCTCCGATACTGGATCTTCCAGTCAGAGGGAGATTTTCCAGCCAATCAGGAAGCCAGGTGGTGGGTCATGACTGGGCGGTGGCCAATCAGCATGGAGCCGGCTTCCCTGGACCACCAGGAAGCCGGGCGGCAGGTAGTGACCTGCCACCCGGCTTCCTGATGGGTCAGGAAGCCGGCCTGATGCTAACTGGCTGAAAAGCCGGCTTCCCGGCCAATCAGCATGAAGCCAGCCAAACGGCATGGAGCCGGCTTCCCGGCCAATCAGTAAGCCGGGTCGCGTGTAATGACTTGCCACCAGGCTTTCTAATTGCCCAGGAAGCCGGCTTCATGCTAGAGGAAGTACCATTATCGGTACTCTGTATCGGCAAGTACCGAAATATAAATATCAGTACTCGATGCCGAACAACTGGTATCGGTGAATCCCTAAAGTGAAACATGAAAAACAGAGGAGGAAAAATAAGGTCCTTCTTAAAAAAAGCTCCTTGTTGCATGCTAATCGCCTGATGTGGTTTTATAGCACATATTGAATTATATACAGTATTTTACAATTTTATTTTATTTTTTTCTGGTAGGCTCCACCAGCAACTTCCTGCGTTCGGTGGCACTTCGCGCCTCGCCAAGCGTTGGATCAGCGCCCAGCTGCTGTCGGACAGCATGTCGGAGGAGTGTGTGGACCTTCTTGTGGCTTATCTCTTCCTGCATCCAGCTCCGTTCACTGCACCGAGGTACGGACAACAATGCACAGTTCTGTGAATTAAACATATTCTTTGCTCATGCAAGGCAAAGCAGGAGGTTCAGTTGAATGCCGGCTTCTTAGGAGCACATACTCATCTGCCGGCTTCTTAGGGGCACACACTCCTCTGCCGGCTTCTTAGGAGCACATACTCCTCTGCCGGCTTCTTAGGAGCACATACTCATCTGCCGGCTTCTTAGGATCACATTGTCATCTGCCGGCTTCTTAGGAGCACATACTCCTCTGCCGGCTTCTTAGAATCACATTGTCATCTGCCAGCTTCTTAGGAGCACATACTCCTCTGCCGGCTTCTTAGGAGCACATACTCCTCTGCCGGTTTCTTAGGAGCACATACTCCTCTGCCGGCTTCTTAGGAGCACATACTCCTCTGCCGGCTTCTTAGGAGCACATACTCCTCTGCCGGCTTCTTAGGAGCACATACTCCTCTGCCGGCTTCTTAGGAGCACATACTCCTCTGCCGGCTTCTTAGGAGCACATACTCCTCTGCCGGCTTCTTAGGAGCACATACTCCTCTGCCGGCTTCTTAGGAGCACATACTCCTCTGCCGGCTTCTTAGGAGCACATACTCCTCTGCCGGCTTCTTAGGAGCACATACTCCTCTGCCGGCTTCTTAGGAGCACATACTCCTCTGCCGGCTTCTTAGGAGCACATACTCCTCTGCCGGCTTCTTAGGAGCACATACTCCTCTGCCGGCTTCTTAGGAGCACATACTCCTCTGCCGGCTTCTTAGGAGCACATACTCCTCTGCCGGCTTCTTAGGAGCACATACTCCTCTGCCGGCTTCTTAGGAGCACATACTCCTCTGCCGGCTTCTTAGGAGCACATACTCCTCTGCCGGCTTCTTAGGAGCACATACTCCTCTGCCGGCTTCTTAGGAGCACATACTCCTCTGCCGGCTTCTTAGGAGCACATACTCCTCTGCCGGCTTCTTAGGAGCACATACTCCTCTGCCGGCTTCTTAGGAGCACATACTCCTCTGCCGGCTTCTTAGGAGCACATACTCCTCTGCCGGCTTCTTAGGAGCACATACTCCTCTGCCGGCTTCTTAGGAGCACATACTCCTCTGCCGGCTTCTTAGGAGCACATACTCCTCTGCCGGCTTCTTAGGCGCACATACTCATCTGCTTGCCACCCCGGTCACCTTGAACAACACTTTGGTACATCCCAGTATGGGGGAGTATTTTAAATGGCGATGATTCTGATGACCTAAAACACTGTTTAGCTTTATATTCCTTCTCGCATTGGCTGGAACATTTTGGGTACCTGTCCCGGGAATTTGTTACACTGATGCGGAGCTATTCTTAACCATTAGAGGGAGCTATTTGCACAAAAAAAAATAGAATGACAAGCTCATTGTATATTTTTCTGCCTTTTCAAATAAATTGGAATTGAATTAAAAAGTAGCCAGACACACAATAAATCTGCACTCTGTTTATATCCTTTGTAGGTACTTTATTGTATTATTGTATTTCTGCTGCCTGAACAAGGATGATACAAAAAGAACAAAGTAGCCAGACACTGGTCCAGAACTATTTTTTTAAGTGTCTAATGCCGAATATGTTTTTTTCTAGTTATTGATAGCGTGGTGAAGGGTTAGAACCCCGGCTTGTGTTTTGTTTTTTCTGTTTTCTTGGGCTCCGTGAAAGATTTACCCTCACTTCTGTCCTGCTGACAGTGAAAGTGTAAATATACAACAGGGACAGAGACAAGAACACCTGACACGAGTTCCATGTATCTCCTTATGTGTATGAAGGTTCTCATTCATCCAGGTCATGGTATAGCTGTAAAAAAATAAATCAAGGCAACTAGACTTGCTGTATTTTTCATGAAGACGTTTATCTGGTCATCCGACTAGCTTCTGAATTGAGAAAGCTAGTTGAATGTCTTCACGAAAAATACAGCAAGACCATTTGTCTTGATTTATTTTTTACATATATATCCCCCTATTTTACACAGAAAATTGTTCTATCTGTCTGTGGTGATGTTGCAGAGTTCCCCTCAGTTCTAATCTGGTAGACTGTTGGCTGGACAGGAAGTGAGGGGAAATCTCTCTAACAGAACCCTGGATAGCTAGTAAAAACCAGACAAGGGTTCGAACAACTTCCTTTCCCTTCCATATGTCCATTCTGTACTGACAGTGTGTTGCTTTCAGCTCCCCCCAGGTGGGTTTCCTGCGTTTCCTCAACCTCTTGGCGACATTTGATTGGAAGAACAGTGCGCTGATTGTGAATCTGAATGGTGACCTGACAGGTCAGTGTATCCAGTTATCTTTCCGTGTCGTTAATACTTGCTGGTCTCGGTCCAACTTGGTCACTTATGTGTGTAGCACAGGGATTATTTTGGTTTGAAAGGGGCACTCCATACAAGAGGTGCAGTTTAGTAATACAGGTGTGCTCAAGTTTTACATACCCCTGGCAGAATGTGTAGGATGGGGACTGTTTTTATTAAGTTAACATCAGGCCCATGTAAGGACCCCTTATTACCACTTTGTACCAGTGTGCAATGTGCTTTTAGGTCCCATTGACAATTGCCTTAACAAGTGCAAAATCTGGTTTGCATACATTTATCGCTTCCTTTTACTGCCCCGTCCAGGTAGTGTAACCACCATCGATGTCTCTAGGAACATTCAGTGCCTTCGCTATCTTTTTGTATAGTTTTCCTCGTTTGTGAAGGGCGATGATCTCTTCTCTGGGCCATTCTTTTGATTTAACCATATTTCTAACATGCAGTCAAACATCACACTCAACAAACCCCTATCCAGTTCAGGTAGTTCATGTGTTCTAGCTCATGCACACCGGGTACAACTAATGAAGCCCCTGAGTAGTTACACCAGGTATGCTTGAGACAACATCTGGTGCTCTTGTGAGGGATTCTACTCGGGGAGTTGAATCATTTTGAGATTGCAGAAGTCATTAAAAGTTGAATTTGGGGAAACCACTTGAAACATTCGTTGTGTTGACCTATTTCAATTGGTTTTGTTTGCTTTGTTCATTGCAAACAGCTAAAAGTCTGTACATTTTGCCAATAAACCTGATTTGCAAAGGGGGTTGGATAATTTTGATTGCAAATATGTGCTTGGAGTTCAGCTTAGGGAGATTTTCCTTTTATTTCCTGTCTATAGACAAAACAGGAAGTGTAAAGATACGATGGAGTAAAGTTCGATTTGCTCTCACTTTCCGTCCCAGAGACCCGCTGTCACAAGGGCAAATGGTGTGAATCTCCCCAGGGGTGACACAGCAGTGTAATCCTGCGTTTATTACAAGTTCCACTCCATCCAAAACATAAAGACCGTTTAGATTTTTAATGCCTTTGTCGTCTTTCTTTTCTTTTTTGGGGTAGATGATGAAATAAAGGAGATTCAGGGTGGGTTTTCGTCAGCTCGTGCCCAGCTGCCGGTTATGTTCATCGCGACACCGAAGGACAAGAAAGCATCCGTGTGGACCAAGAAACAACCGAGTGCTCAGGTAAGGGGGATCGCCCTCATATTAGGTACTGTCATGTTTTCTTGTTTGTTTTTTTTTTTTTAAATGAGACACTGAAAAAGTAATTGGACAACATGGTTACGAGTAGGGATGCACCGATACTAGTACTTGTACTCGCCCAAATGCTCTGATGCCTAGCCCGATACTTCGGGTATCAGGAAGCCGGGCAACTAGTCATTACACGCTTGTGACGAGAGAGCGTGGAACCAGCTTTCCAGCCAATCGGGAAAACGTTACACGCTGCCCGGCTTCCTAATTGGTCAGGTAGCTGGCCAATCAGGAAGCCGGGCGCCCTGTAATGACGCAACGCCCGGCTTTATGATTGGCCGGGAAGCCGGCTTCATTCTCCCTCATCACCTCATGACGAGGGAGCATGGAGCTGGCCAATCAGGAAGCCTGGCGCCGCGTCACATAGTGACGAGAAGCATGGGGACGGCTTACCTGCTTGTGCTACGAAATATCTCGCCTTACGAATACCAAAACTGGAGATTATTATTAGGAGATTCTTTGATAACCTTTACAGCAGGGTTAGCCAAACTCTGGCCCTCCCGCTGTGGTGGAACTACAAATCCCATGAGGCATTGCAAGATTCTCACAGCCACAGACATGACTCCCGAAGAGATACATCATGGGATTTGTAGTTTCACCACAGCGGGAGGGCCAGAGTTTGGCTACCCCTGCTTTACAGCTCATCAGTTTAAAGACACTTTCTGCAAGTACTGAAAATCATTTGCTGATCCTGCCAGAAATACAGCGTCCTTATAACGTGCTGGCCACTGAACTGAAACCTCAAACAGTGTTGGCAGACTTCCTGGCTCTCTCTGCGAACTACACAACCCCTCCTCAGTGGTGGAGTGGAGTGATGGAGATGAGGAGAGGAAGGGTCTTCGTGGTCCTGATCAGGAAAGCAACTTAAGGTGACAATACTGCTGCTCCATAGGCTGCTCCATTGCAACTCCGCCCCCTCTCCAGCAGCGATTTAACAACAAATGCCAGCATTCCTCTGCTTCTGGGAGTCATGCCTGTGGCTGTCAGGGTCTTGCAATGCCTCACGGCACTTGTAGTTCCACAACAGCTGGAGTACCTTGACGGCGGGTGGCCGCATCATCCCAGGTTGCTAAGAGCTCTTAGCAACCTTTGATGCTCTGGCTTGCGCCCCCTCCTGACTGACTGAGCCGGTGACAGCATGGTCTGGCGTCTGCACCACCAAACCAGCACAACATTTCGCAGTTCCCTGCCAGCAACCCACCCACCCCCGGGACGACATCTAATCGGGGGGGTGCATACCTTAGGGACAGCCATGACTCCAGCTGTGGTGACAGCCATGACTCCAGCTGTGGTGAAACTACAAATCCCATAACATCTCTCCCTCTGGGAGTCATGCCTGTAACTGTCAGTCTTGCAATGCCTCATGGGACTTGTAGTTCCACAACAGCTGGAGGGCCGGAGTTGCTCACCCCAGGGAGCCTATGATTTCATTTTTTCTTTGCCAGCAGGGTTGCTTCTAAGCAGGGAGGTGTCACAGTCCTGTAATTAGGGCACTGATGAAGCTGCACTGTGATAGCACTTGGGCACGTTGGCACACGGCGCTGCGATCTGTGCCAGGATGGTCTTGTTGAGAAGCAAGCAGTGCTCTATTTTAAAAAGGCTGCAAAATGCTGCCCCCCCCTCTCCCCCCCCTTCAGGGCAGCATTCTGTCTTGGCACGCCATCGCCCTTCACTTCAGGAGTGGTAACTGAACAGTTTGGGCAAAATGGAGATTTACATGAATTGTGCAGTTTCCATGATGAGCCAAGCAAGTCTGCACAGGGGGAGAAGAGCTTCCGGGCAGACCAGCCCTTCCTGTAGAGGCCGTCGTGCCCGGGCCGGTCACTGCATGGAGGATGATTTCTTCTAGCTGACTGGAGAGGTGGAATTCTCTGAAATTGGATATCAAGATTTGCAATTAAATTTGATATTAAATCCTCAGGTTTATTAATCCCGATAGATGCCCTAATAACGAATTGCTTGTTAGTATATATTATCTACGAGGGGAGGCCAAAAGGTGTAGGTGTAGGTGGATATCTTAGGTGGATATCTTAGTAATAGGCATGCCAATTTATGTTTTTGTAGGTCGTGGCGAGTTATAGTTAGAGCCAAGAGAAATGGAGTCATGCCGGACGAAGTTGAATACCGAGCCGTAGATTATGTTCCTCCATCTTCAAGGGAAATCTGCCCAAATAATCCATGAAGAGATGTCAGCTTGTGTATGGAGAGGATTGTCCATCATATGAGACTGCCAAAGGATGGAGGAGAGAATTCAAGCCGGTCGCACAACTATACAGGATGACCCTAAGGGAAGGTCGTCCGTCAACTGCCACAGAACCAAGTGTGGTGACGAAAGTTGAGCTCGGTATTCAAAATGGAGTAGGTGTCATGCCGGACAAAGTGGAATACCGAGTAGCTCAACTTTCGCCACCACACTTGGTTCTGTGACAGTTGACGGACGACCTTCCCTTGGGTCATCCTGTATAGTTGTGTGACCGCACTTACATTCTCTCCTCCATCGTTTGGCAGTCTCATATGATGGACAATCCTCTCCATACACAAGCTGACATCTCTTCATGGATTATTTGGGCAGATTTCCCTTGAAGATGGAGGAACATAATCTACGGCTCGGTATTCAACTTTGTCCGGCATGACTCCATTTCTCTTGGCTCTAACTATAACTCGCCACGACCTACAAAAACATAAATTGGCATGCAGATTACTAGGGTTGCACAGATACCAAGTACAGTACTCGGTACAAGTACGAGTACAAGTACCGATACTTTTGAGCTCCAAGACTAGACTAGAGAAAAATTCAAAAATTAGGAGGCCGCTGTCATTTGTAAGGAGCACACGGAGCTCCCGGGATTAGTACATCTCTGTTTTAATGTATGATTTTGTTTTTATAAATAAACGGATGCACAGATACCAGTTTTGTGAGTACGAGTACTGGTACTTGCCGAGTACTTACAAGTACGAGTACTGATACATTTTTGTTTATTGTCATGTGACAGTTTTTCTAAAACAATACAGACTAATAATTTCAGGACAGTGGTGGAGCGCCAGAGCCAGGTCCCATCTGCAACCGCTGCAACCCTGGGAGTTCTCATGAAAATGCCAAGTATCTGCACTGGTACTCAAAAAGTATCTGTGCATCCCTACAGATTACTAACATATCCACCTACAAACCTGCAAAACGTCAGATCCCTAGCACATCTAGATCATGGTGAGGGTAAGAACTTATTGGCCTCCCCCCGTATAATGCCACCAAACACATATTCTTGTAAATGGCGCAGCCTCCATCTTTCTCTCGGTGGCTTTTCTGAACTTCCATTTGGGGAACGTGCACTCCGAATGAAAACATCTCCTTATCCCCTGCTCAGTACTACACATCCCATCATTTCTAGCGCCATTATGTTGCATTTCTATCCCCCTGGGGTGCCTGTGCGTGTCCAGCAGCGAGCGTGAGTGTGCACATAAGGGTGGCTCCATAGGTCACCCTGCAATCCAAGGAGCCTCCCTTACAAAGGATAGACGTTTTAGGAAAAGGAGAGCACAATGTCAGTACAGATGCTCCTCTGGTTGCGATCAATAGTTACGATGGAGTTTACGGTACTGTATAGTGAACTCTCGGTGCCGGATAACTGTAGTTTCTGGTTGCTTGAGAGTTAATAGTAACACTCAAGCGACCAGCCCTGAGGCGCTCCGCTTCCCTATTCACCTGCCTGCTCGCTTCAGCAGCCGGCAGGTGAATGTAAACAGCCGGGATCTATAGCAGGACTGCTATTGGCTATTTCAAATTGCAATAGCCAATAGCAGGCTGGCTATTGCACTCCCGCCCAATGAGCAGAGGAGCGGACCCGAGAGAGAACTTTTCTCTCAGGTCCAATTCTCTTAGTGGGCGGGGATTCAATAGCCGGCCTGCTATTGGCTATTGCAATTTGAAATCTCCAATAGCAGTCTTGCTATTGATTCCCATTGTGTACTGTCTGCTGCCTACCACGGCTGTACATTACACAAGTAAACTCCTCGGTTTGCGATGGATTTTCTTTTAGCAGTACTTTTTTTTTCCTGCCGCTAGATGTCCTCAGTCTGATAGCCAGCAACATTTAACCCACTTCCCCTAAGCCCAGGTCATCCCGGACGAGCCCCCAACCTGACTGGACAGTGAAAGAAGAAACAGCACAGTAATTAGCTCATCTCTCTGTCACTCTGCTCTCTCCTCTTATCAGCATGCTTCTTGTCAGCCCACCCCGGATCTGGAAAGTCTCTATAAATATTTTTAAAATATCCCTTGCCCGTAAGGGGAACGATGATTTCTTGTATGTGGAAACTATAGAGATATGCAATAGTGTTGGCACAGGTTCAGCAAACCTACATAGGCAGAGACAAACGGCCCCCTCCGCCTGGCAAAAAGCAGAATTGGGGCATTTTACCATTGGAAACGATACAAACGAGCATATTGCTTTTTGTTTTATGCTATAATATCTATGACTGGTACCAAGGAATGATAGCTTATGGCTCCAGTGCCCAATAATTGTGACCAGTCATCTCGGTATCATCAGGATGTTTTATTACTATGCAGTGAATAGCCAGTGTTGAATCCTGGATATCATCAGTTACACTCCTATATTGTTAGCGCAGGGACGCCTGTAGCCATGTCTTGTCTTTCTGATGCCGTTTGTGTGGGAAGAGTTGCATTTTATGCCGGCAGGATGGTATTTAATGGGGGTCTCCTTGTTTTTCAGATGCTGCAGCGTCTCATAGTCCTGGCTGTGGAGTCCCTGCGCACGCTGGAGGAGCACCTGACCAAACCGTCTGAGAAAACCGATGTTAAGGTGAGTCGCTGTGGTAAGCTGTCGAAACGTTTGTAAACCCAACAACAGACGTGTAATCGCAGACTTCCAGATCCGGGATGTATTCCTTTTCTCTATTCAGTCCTGATTTTCCTTTATTACATTAGGCTGACAACGCTCACTAACCCCGCTGTATCTATGGAGGAGCAGCGTTGTCGCCTGCCCTTCTCCCCTTTTTTCATTGCACAGGGCAGGTGTTCTGTAGTTCGCAAAGAGAACTGGAAACAATGTAACTGATGACAATGAGAACAGGAAGGAAGTTAGGCCTGGTTCACACCGGGGCGTTTTACAGCGCGTTCTTACGCGCTGTAAAACGCTCAACATGTGAAAACCAATGATTGCCTATGGGCATGGTTCCCACCTTGACGTTTTACAGCGAGTAGAACGCGCTGAAAAACGCCCTACGGCCAAAGAAGTACAGGAGCTTCTTTGGGGCGTATTTGCAGCGCGTATCCATTAGGATACAGCCGGATAGCCCTCGTAAATGCGCGTTTCTTTTACCGCAAATCGCTGTAAAAACGTGTGGCAAACGTGCATATTCCGTACGCCCAGGTATGAACCCAGCCTTAATGGGGTGGTGGTGCAGCCATCACATCTAAGGACTAGTAAGCCCCAAAATGTTACATTTGTGTTTTGGGTTTCAATTAGTATAACCTCACCCCCTCCCATTATAAATACCGGAATCCTCCTCTCCTATCTCAGACGTGTTCTGATCACATGGAATCGGGTCGAGGTGAAAAGCCGGGGCTGCACTTGTGTTAGAATCTCTGACATCACCGGCCCGCTGCTCGTGTGCAGTTTATCAGATTGTTCGATGGCGGCAGAAATCATTGCTGTGTACAATTCGTTTTCCTTTGTTGCTGAATGTGAGAACGGTGGATGATCTAATCCTGTGTTTGTGTTTCATTTTTTACATTGCAGACAAGTCCTTTAAGGTAATAACTTGCCTATGGCATCCTATTGCCCAATGGACAGGGAGGGGCAGCTGTTTATGTAATTGCTACTAAGCGGAGTATATGTTATAGGCTGATATCATGTTACCAGCAGCTTCTAGTATTGCGCCTGGCAGGGTAAGGATTGCATCAGAAAGATATAAAATGTTTACTCAACAACGTTTACACTATATTGCCAAAAGTATTGGGACGCCGGCCTTTACACGCACATGAACTTTAATGGCATCCCAGTCTTAGTCCGTAGGTTTCAGTATTGGGTTGGCTCCGCCCTTTGCCGCTATAACAGCTTCAACTCTTCTGGGAAGGCGCCCACAAGGTTTAGGAGTGTGTCTATGGGAATGTTGGACCATTTGTGAGGTCAGGTCCTGATGTTGGAGGAGAAGGCCGGGCTCACTTTGGCAACATAGTGTACATCAGCCCGGTAGATACAAAAGACACAAACTGATGCAGGTTTGTATTCATTGATGCAATATTAAAGAGACCCTGTCACCAGATCTTCTCTTCATATTGGAGCAAGGGCATACACAGCGGCAAGCACTTGGCTCATTCCTTCACTAAGCCGTGGAGGGGCAGTGTGTCTTTTGTTCTCCTTCCAATCAGATTATATGGGCAATTAACACATTTTATGCATATTATGTACCTGTATAAAGCCTCACTTGTGTAGACATCCAAACGCCCTGAGACTGCCGCTGGACGCCACCATCTTGGATGTGATGTCAGCAGCCCCAGCAGAATCAGAACTGTTACCCAGCTGACACACCCTATAGCAGGCGTAGCCAAACTTCGGCACTTCATCTGTGATGAAACTACAAATTCCGTCATGCCTGGGGCTATCAATACTTAATGATGGCCTAAGGCAAGACCCAATGGTTTTGGGTCTTGCAATACTTATTGGGATTTGTAGTCTCGCCACAGCTGGAGGACCAAAGTTTGGCTACCCTTGCCCTATAGCATTGCTCTCTGATCCTGCCCCAGCAGCTATATAAGATTAAGGAGGTATGGACAGAGCACACAGACTATATGAACACCCCCAGCAGAAGAGAGGGCTATGACATGACCAGTGCAAGAAGGATCTGTGACTGTGCTAGGAAATTGACTCTTCCTGGAGTGGTCACATGTTCTAGCAACTTCTAAGGCCCATTGCCAGACAGGGCTGTGCCCCTCCGGATATGTATTTTGTGTGTTTGGCCTCTTTGTCTGGAGTTCCGCATTAAAATGGATCCTGGACCTTGTGATGGAGGGAAAAAACTGGACTTACCAGGCCTATGTTAGGTCTATGGGGAGTCGGATGTAAGCGGGCATGTGTCCTCCTGCATCTGACTCCCCATAGACCTGACCAAAGACTTGCAATTGGAGGATGACTGCACCGGAGCCTGCACCAATGTTGGCTCTTGTATTTGTTTCCAGACCGGTTCCCTTTAAAGTGGAAAATCTTTTTTTCCTTTTATTCTGCAACCTGCCACAAGGGGGCGCAGTAACAATATCACGCACTATGCTGTAGCGTTGTTTTTCTGCTCGCGTTAAGACTTGCTGGATCTGTAATACTTATACTGGGGAGCGTCCTGTTTGTATTTGATATTTTTGGATTATAGCTAAGTGCAATGTACACATAACAGCCTCCAAAAAAATGTGGTTGTAAACAGCTGTCTGTAGATGTCAAAGGCAGCTCGTCATGTGAGCTGATTTGCAGCCAGCTTTTTAATTCAGATCGGCTTAAATTATTTAGGTATCTTTAAGGGTAACTGAAGTTTTAAAGGAGAACTCTGGGCAGAATAAAACGTAACCCTTTCAGTGGGGCTACCCCCCCCTGCACTGCAAGGGTTAAGTGCTTGTTTTGTCTAGGGAGCTAAAATAAATACTCATCCGAATCTTGGATCCGGCTGCCTGCTGGATGGGTCCCTACATCCTCTCTCACCCCTTCCACTTTGGTGGTCTAAGGATCCGTCATAAAATCTAATACAGTGGATAGGACACCATTGAGGTTCAGGGGAGTAAATTTTAGGCTTAAATTTTGTTCTTCTTTAAAGTCCACAACATACAGGGGTACATGTACCCTTAAAAAAAAAAATCACACGGGGACTCGTACACGCATACACATGCAGAATGACATACATACACGCAATAGGTTGAACTTGATGGACCTGCGTCTTCAACCTCAAATACTATGTGACTACGTAAAGCCTGACTTCTGTCCAGAACGCTGGGTAATAGTTGGTACGGGTGTCACCAGGACCGGAAGGCAGAGCAACCAAAAAAAATGTAATGAGGGGAATTTATGAACTGGAGCAGCTGTCCATGGCAACCAATCAGCTTCTCTCTTTCATTTTCAAATCTTAACTGAACAAACTGGAGAGAAGCTGATTGGTTGCCCTGGGCATCTGTTCCAGATTTTGTCTGCTCCAGGTTTGATAAATTCCCCTCGTTGTTCTAATATATTACCGTTCCCCTCTCTACTAAATGAATATACTTTTGCTGCGGTCTCCATTGGTGAGATATTCCATCACTCTCTGTACTCGTGACACTCGGTCACAGGAAGTGAGATTCAATCAGGCTCAACTTTGGAAAAAAAAAAACGATATTCTAAATCCCACCCACTCTTCTCAAAATTAAAAAAAAAAAAATTGCTAGGATTAGACCTAGTTATGAAAAATGACGACAAGTTTGGGGCTCTTTGTCTCTGGTCTACCCTCACAACGTATTATTATTATACAGGATTTATATAGTGCCAACAGTGTGCGCAGCGCTTTACAATATAAGGAAGACATTACAATCACAATTCAAGACATGATGGTAAGGAGGGCCCTGCCCCTGGGGGCTTACAATCTAAAAGGGTGGGGGAAGAGATACATGAGGAGGGAGCTGTGTGGGGATGAATTGTTTGTGATGGGGACGGTTAGGGTGATACTTTGAGACAAGGTTGGAGATATATCCGGGGGCAGAGTTGTGGATGGCTTTGTAAGCGATTGTTAATATTTTGAGGCGAGCGGAAGTCAGGGCAGGGATTGCCAAAGGGGGGCAGGGGATGGAAGCCAGCTCAGGGATTGCCAGAGGGGGGCAGGGGATGGAAGCCAGCGCAGGGATTGCCAGAGGGGGGCAGGGGATGGAAGCCAGCGCAGGGATTGCCAGAGGGGGGCAGGGGATGGAAGCCTGCGCAGGGATTGCCAGAGGGGGGCAGGGGATGGAAGCCAGTGCAGGGATTGCCAGAGGGGTGCAGGGCATTTAGAAACGCACCCCCTGGAGTTCATACAGAGAGCTGTAGAGACGCTTTAGAATTGCATCATGCTCCAGGCAACAAATATCGTTGCCTGTGACATTCATTGGAAACAGGTACGTGAATTTGTCACATAGAGGCATGGTGAGGGCAACACTGAGGCCAAAATGTCTATACTGCGGACACTCCACCCTCAGTGCATGTTCAGCCCCCCCCAGTCACGTGTCTGTGGTTGCTAGGATGCTGTCAGTTACATGACATAATTGTTTGCTGCAGCCGACAGCATCCTAGCAACCAGTGACATCCCCTGCCCTATTCATCTGCTATTCAGCTGACTGTAAGAAAAGGGATGGGGATTGTGCTGAGGACATTGACCAATCATGTCCTCTGTCACAATTGGTTAATGATGTCAGCCAGCATCCCCGGCCTCTGTCTCCAGCACCCTAGCAACTAACTAGCTCTGAGCAGTAAGCTCTCCTGCAGCTGTGTAGTAAAGATCAGTGCAAATGCGCCCCGTTCTTTACTACACAGCGGCCCCACTCTGAGCCCTGGCCCGTTTCTGAATGCCAATTTTTTAAGAGTTGGTCTTATCTCCAGTTTCGTTATCTGCAAACTGTTGCGTAATTCTTTTTGGATCTGTTTATACAATAAAAATTGCATTGTGAAACTGGCACATGCAAAAAAAAAACTACCTTAACCTGTTGCAGGGGTTGGAGCTCTTAAACGAAATTATTGCAAAGCTTTTATGAATTAGGTGCAGGATTTTTAAAAGGGCCCATACCCCAGAAAAGTGTTGTGAATGCTTTACTGCATCACCC